CCCCTGCCGAGCGAGCATGCTCCTCGCTGCCGCCCTTTCCCCGCCGCCCTCTGCTTGGCCAGCTGAAAATGGGGAAAAAAAAAAAGCGCAAGCAGACTTCATTTGCGGTGACAAATGGCCATTCGTCTCTGCAGCATTTCAGCTCCTAATGTCAGTGACAGCAGAGAAACATTGCCTGTTACATGTATAAATCAACTGTAAAACAACCCGAAGTGCAGGCAGCCAGCAGGGACCCAGAGCTGCTGCCTGCTTTCTGCTCTCTGCCTCTTTGCCTTTGCCCAGGGATCGATGCGTGGGTTCGGATACGCACCCCTCCGGCTTCCCAGGCAAATCTCGATTACTTCCCGGGCACGGCACAACCTTGTCCGCCCTCTAAGGTTTTGTTTGTCTGCTTTTTGTTCTTTATTTTGCATTCCCTCCGTCTCCCTGTCTGTCCATTCATCCATCCATCCATCTGTTTAATTCTGTCCGTGAAACGCATTTATCATATAGATTCAGGTAGTCATTTGCTTGCACGAGAACATCTGGAGAGTCCAGGCTTCACGGGAACAGCTCCTGCCATGCGCAGGGAGCCTGCAACATGCCCAAAGGCAGCCTTCTCTCCTTCCTCCGTGCTCTTTAGCCGTGTGATAAGCCCCTTAGGCCAGAGATTGCTTTTATGGCAACCAGCATGAAGGGGTCCTTACTCCAGTCAAAGCTTCCAGGTTGGCCTGTAATAGAAATCATTGCAGTTTGGAGTTACGTGTGCGTTGCAACCCAGTGGCTGAGCGGAGGGGAGAGCAGGCTGTCCAGGGCTCTGCAGTTGTTAGCGGCCTCTCCCCATGTAAACTTCTCTTTTCCCTTGCTCCGAGCCCTGCTGTGCAGGGAAAGCCAGGCTGGAGAGGCTCGGAGGTCCTGCACAGCAGCACATTCCTTCTGCAAGGCTGGGGTGAAGCAGGGAGGTGACCAGAGCTCAGCCTGAAGATAATGGGCAAGTTCTGCCCCAGCTACGAACAGATACTGAAATATTATTATTTTTTTTTTCTGAAACAACTGGCCATGAAGCCTTTTAATAACGTAACAGAAAAGGTCAGGGAAAGAATTTCACACTTCTTGAGCAAGCAGGCAGCCAGTATAACTTCATGCCTTCCAGGAACGAGAGGCACCGAGAACATACACGTACCCTGAATTAACTGGGGCTCTGACACCCTCAGCCAAGTGCTGCCTGGGCAGCTGGTGGCTTTCCATGGGTGCTAGCTTTCCTAATAGCGAGGAGCCGGCTGGAAGACTGCAAGACTCAGCCCAGCTTCCAGCAAGCTCCCCCAACAGGGAAAGGAGCAGGGGGGCTCAGCCCAGCATCCCCTCCTGTCCTTTCAGTGACGCGCTGGGGCTCTGGCACCAGCCGTGCCCCTCGCGTGCTGTTGAGGATGCTTGGCTGGGAAGAGCAGGGAAGGTGTGAGCGTGTGTTCGCGCCTGTCACGCTGACCCTGTGGCATGCCCGGGTCCTGCTGCCTTGCAAAGCTGCAGGGTCTGAGTGCCTCGATGGGTGGAGCGGAGAGCACGTGTGCCCCTCCAAAACTGCCTTTTGGACACTGCTGCTTTCATCGCAGCTGCCATGAGCTGGGGTCAGCGTGGTGCTGGCTTCCCAGAAGCCAGTGACCTGCACGGTGGCATTGGTATGTGCTTCGCTCTCCATTGCTGAGGTATTTGCTAGACCTGGAGGAATGGGGAAGGGGCCTGAGACAACCCAGCGGGAGGTTAGAATTAAGAGGCGGGAGGTCTCCTTAAGCTCCTCGTATCCTGCAGATCTGCACAGCAAAGTCCTCCTGAAAAGCTCCGATAACCAAAGTCATTAAAGCCCAAACAAACCAAGAGTAACTTGTTTTTAACACAACAATGCATTTGATTTGCCTTGAAGGGTCTGGAGAAAAATGGTTCTCCAGGGAAGTGTGGAAAGTAATCCTAGCTCCGTGATCCCTCCTCTCCGCTTTATTTGCCCCGGTCTGGCTTGGCTGCGCAGGCTGGGATGGGTCGCTGTGGCTCCATCAGCGGGCCGGCAAGCAGGAGCGAGCTGGGGAGGCTGCTGCGTGGCCCCCTCCCAGCCCACGCTGCCTGGCAGAGGGCTGGGAGGAAGAGGGGGAGCGGTGGAGGGGTTTGCCGGGAGTGCATGACCCAGCCACACACCTTCAACCAGCCCCCACGACAGACATCTTCCAGCAGAGGCATTAACCCCTGCGGCTCCCCACGCGCTCCTGCCAGCTCTCCTTTACTCAGGCCAGGCCAGACGAGCCAGCTGCCCGTTCAGGCACCGCTCTCAGGCCAGCCGGGCTTTAAAAATAACGTTGATGCGTCCCTGGGATGGTTGCGTAGAGATTTGTCCCAAATTCTTGCTGAGTTAGTGACTGCCTTCTCCCTCGGACCTTATCCTCACCCAGCCTTGCGAGGTTATGTTCTTTGCCTTACTTTGATGTCCTCCTCACCCAGAAATACATCTGGTCTGGGGTGGTGCTGGCTTTCTCCCCATGACAGCCACCTCAAAAGAGAAGTCTGAAGGGGATGCTGAGACTTCTCAGAGCTTTGAAATGTTCCCCCCCAACCCCAGCATGATATTTTTGGGCAAGCCTGCTGGTGTGCTTTCCAGAGTTATTTTTTGCAGACCCTCAGGAACAGTCTGAGCACCTCCAGCAGTCCGCAGACCTCAGACTATAAACTACAGTGCCTGATTCAATTATCAGGCATTGAATTCAGCATGGGAACCATTTGCTGTAGCTTGTGGTATGCAGCAAGGCAGGTAAAATAAGCACCGTGTTCCCTCGGGGTTTGATAATCTGAATCTGTAAGACAGTCTTGTGCTTTAAAAAATGACACTTTCCCTTTTTTTCTGAGTTTCAGAT